GTTCGGATCGATCCGGAAATTAAGGCTTTGAGGGTGAGCGACTGATGCTGTTTTTTTGCGATAAAACAGACGCTTTTATTACAGGATACACCGGTGTTTTACCCGATCTTAAGACATGCGCTTGGCATTGCCGGTCTTAAAGACCCGCTGGACGTGTTCTTCAAATTCAACCCACATCCGGTGTTGATGACATGCGGAAAGTTCCAGGGATTTCTACTAGCGAACGCCGATCGAATCGGCAAGGAACAGAATGTTCTGGGAGCGAAAATTCGCGAGGTACGGTCTGACAATAGCGGGACCACGTGACACGATATCTTCTGTGGTGTTGGCAGTCGTGAAGTATATGCAATATTATGGCCTTCTTCGAATGGCTAGAATCGTTGGTTGCTTTTTGTAGTCTCAGAGTTAACATTCAATGGTGTGCAACATCTCTCAATCTACCCCCTGACATGGCGAGGCAGATAGCTGAGGTGATATACCTCAAAGTATATTTTCGTCAACCGATGCCATATTTGTCTGTCTTTGAGGCGAACCGAATACACAAGCTGATTGCATATGATTCAGTGGGAAGACTGCGGACAAGACCATATTGGATCACAATTTCTGTAAGAACAATCGAAAAATATCTTGTGGCAGTATATAGTATGAGAGAAAATAAGTTATAAGTTACAATGTAAGCACATTAATATAGCAGGGCGAAACTCAGAGTTTGTATGATCAGATTTGAAGAAGTCGCAGTTGGTAGATTAGTAGTCAACGTGAAATGAGTAATAAGAGTAAGAGTTACCGTAGTATTGTTAGATTATGAAAACTTAGAGCTCTCTTATGTGAACAGGTGGCATTGTATCGTCCTGAGCACAGCTGAATCAAACCCACAGGACTACCCGCTCTCACTTAGGAAAATATGTTCTTGCAGAACAACTCTAATCTGCCACGTAACGAATCCATCAACAGCTCCTCAGCGTGAGGCGACATAATTTCGTTTACCCGCAGCGATGTCGAATTCTCTAGACTGCCCTCCGTCATTGACGAAGTCAGTGTATTGACCCACTTTTATCTTCTATGTGATGATTCTACCGGCACAGACATGTTCACAGTAGCTTTGGAGTGACTTCAGTGTCTGCAGTAGATTTCTCAGTTAGGTTCCTGGCAGCAAAAAGAGGGTGAATACTAACACATGGACGAGGCAATTTGCTCGTCCATTTTTAATGATTATAAGGACAATTCAGTATCGAAATCAGCCCAAGCCACAGTTTTCCTGTGCAGCGTATCTGATGCTGACCATGTGTGACTGAATGTGGTGATAAGAGTGTTGTTGTTCGCAGTGTTTCGCCTTAACTGTATTCTAAAATATTAGATAATAATCATAGTTAACAGAAGTACATATGTAGCCGGACATCAAGTCTATATCATTGCATTGAATTTTACTTCTAAAATGAAAGTACTTTGTTTGATAACTGAAAAGTTTAAATCTCATATGCTTGGTTTGGAATGGAATTGAGTTGAGTAAGTAGTATTGTGTACGTTGAGACTTTTGCCTGTTTAAAACAGATTTGTACAAAATATATTTCAGTATTAGACTTAGACACTATGATGCTTCGATTACGCCGCCGCAGATGTAGTTTAAAACTAGTCAAAATAATAACAGTGCTTCGCCAAGCAACTTAGGAGTTTTTCAGGGATCGGCCTTATCTCCGCTTATGTTCACAGTGAGTCAACTTTCAAGTAAATGAATATAATATGACAATGTGTTCTTAATACTCTGTGCAATTACCTGGGTAGATGATCTCACAAGGTATTCTTGTGCAGCCACTTCTGCTCAGGACTAGTAAGGAGAAAATTACTGACTCATTAATCATACTAAAACCAAAGAAATTTTTTCCAGTTCAACAAACATTACTGTAATAGATTAATCCACTGTCCCCTTGCCTAGCCAAGGGACAGACGAGGTTCTTAGCGTGAATTCTCTGGGTAGCCCTCTAGATGAAATCTATATTCAGTGCACACGCAGAGAGATTAGTGATCAAAGTACGACGGTGTAGCCGTTTCTGAAGCGTCGTACTCTATTGCAAATGCCTAAAAAAATCACGGACCTGTTTCTTATGACCTGTATACCTCCTCTAATTACATATATTCGCCCGTACACTTCTTCTCCCTTCGTATTTGGGTCGGTCGGCTTTGAAAATTATCGACAGAGCAAGTCACCGTCTTTCGTGAACGTCTTAGATGTCTTGATGGATCAGATTGCAAGATTTGTTGTAGAGCTAGGCATATCCATTATCCATCCTAACCCATTCTTCTTATTCCATGCGTCAGGTTTTTTCCAGAATGCACGTCGAGGTCTCATTCACGATGTCCAAATGTGTGCATCTATGCGAGAACTGAAGCATACAGAAGACTCGTAAATAGCCCGAACTGCAGGACGAAGACGGCAAAAGTAAATCTACTCGATCTTTTAATTTTAAACCATACGCACCCACCAACTTTCTGTCCAATTATCTGTTTCAGTTTCATCATTTATTATTGTTTATCTCATCATAATGCATAATGTGTTATAGTTTACGTGTACATTGTATGCATATTGTTATATAAATGTGTCAATAGGTCAAAGGTTGTTGAAAAGTTGGTCTATGTCAGGTTTAGTTGCTATTTTAACGAATCTCTACTGAGGTTCTTGCCCGTAGTCGCTTTATATTATTAAACAGTTAGAAAGATATAAATGATTAAATCAGTTCATGATGATCGATTTCGATTCGTGTTCGTCAAAGTCATGGGCCCATTAAACAAACTCTGAAGTACCTGATGCTCTGGTCTGACCATATTGTTTTGTTTCAATTGTATATAGGTAATCGAGTTGCTTTCATTTTCGCAGTGCTTGAATTTGAACGGTACTTTTGGTACACATAGTCGAATTACCCTCTGCTGTCCCTTCCAATCCCACGATGGACCGTTTAGTAAATTTCTGCTTCGTTGTAGTAGGGCAATCGATGCAGCGAATGCATTGCTCAATTGACAGATTTTCTTTTAGGTAGATGCCATGTTGTCGGCGGTGAATGCGAAAGCGGCTTTTCGGCAGAAGCAGTTCATGAAGCTGTGTTGCGAACTGGCGACGTTGACTGAGCTGTCTGCAGATATCGCCAAGATCTCTGTTCAGATGCGAGATGTGATCTCCACAGCCGCCAAAATCAACGACATGCTTCCGGCAAATGACCGCCTTCCTTACTTGACGTTCCCGCTCCACGTTCAACGGATATTCGTGCCCCCCGGAACAGAAGAACAGAAGGTCGTTGACGTTGCTCTGTAGCAGCACATGTCCATATTTGTACATGTGAACGTTTCTCAGCTGCCATCTCTTGCAATATGCATGTGTTTCAATTCTGTTCCTGCACCAATTTATATATGATGTTGCCGTCTGTTCAAAGCATAGTTGTATTTTATTTTTTGTTTGTGTGAACAGTAAATTTGTTGGTGTGAATTTTGTTTCAAGTGTTTAAAGTATGGCTATCTTACTTAACGTCATCATTCCGTGCCTTCGATTTACAGTTTAACCCTAACTTCAGTTAAACGGTTCTAGCATGTGAGCGAGACAAGCTGAAATGAGTCGGGACAACTACACGATTCTTGGAGTGAAACCGGATTTGAATCAGGTATATAATATCTGTTGTTTTTGTACTATCGTACAATATGAAAGAATAATTGCGGGTTTTGAAACAAGTAGAAGTGAGGTTTTGCCGTTCATGTTTGAAATTTTATGGTTGAAACGAAATCGCAAAAATGTTTCAACAAACAAGATGATGCAAGATAATGTTTAAAATTCCAGTAAAACTAGATACGAAACAACACCGTAACTGAATTACCATGGTTCAAGGTAGTTCAGTATGTGATGAGTGCAAAATTATTACCACCAAAATGGTTCCTGTTAATTTCTATTGTTTAACTTCGGAAAGATGGGACAGGAACAAAGGTAGAACGACCTATGTTTGAGTAAGGAAGGAGACAGTGGTAGGAGTTAGAGTTCGAATGCCAAAGTGATATTTCTCGACTACTGATCTCCTTAATAAATGACTTCACCCAGCATTGTTTCAGTGCAACCAGCTGGGACTTATTGAATTTCATGAAGGGTTTCGACATCCCCGTAACGTGATGCGTAGAATTGTGGTTCCCAGCAACTGGGAGGAGTTTGCTGTCAAAGGATGACTTAGGCGAAGTTATCCAGTAGTACTAACAGTACATCTCGAGTACGCTAGCGACACTGTACTGCTGAGCGACTCAGCCAGTGGCTTACACTAACCTGATCAGTTTGCCGGATGACCTCGACTGTATGCCTAAAAGTTAACCCCACAAAACTGAGGATCGTGCGAGCATCCAGCTAAGGTAGCGATTCACTGTTTCAGTGAAGAACAACCAGATCGAGGAGGTCAAATACCTCAAGTAACTCGATTTTATACGTGCAGAGGTGGACACTTCAGCATGAAAGTAAAGCGATACTTAGAGCTGGCATCTGTGAAATTCGAGTTACTTTTTAAAGTATTTCTATGTAGATAGCAGCAGAGATCATTCTGAAAGCCGTCGTATTGTCAATCTTGATGTAGAGCCTCTAAACATCCAACCATTTAAATCGCAACGAAAATATGTTGGACATCTTTCAGAGCGCTGTATGCTGGACATTCTGCAAGTGCAATGGTTTTATCGAACCAGGAATGATAAATTCTTCGAGATGACCGGTTTGAGACTGCTATCCGAAGAAATCAGGGACCAACGTCTGTTTTTCTGTCCAGAGGGAATAAAGACCTTTCTGAAACCGTTCTCCTATAAGAAGCAAAAAAGTGGTCATGGACGCGTCAGTGGTTAACACTGCACCGTAAAACAGCTGCTAGATGCGGACTTGCTTGGGACGAAGAACATGACCTTTGGTGCAGCAACCAACAGCATCTAATTCATTCTGAGAAGCTAAAGCATCAGATGTTTATTTGTCTTTTTCCCTGATGCTTCATATATGACGATAGCAGCAACGACGACATGCTTCTTGTCGCAGTTTATCTGTTGAGAAACTGCTAGCAGGTTGTCGACTTGTGACCGACGGCGTTGCGTGGTGTTGTATTACCGACTTAGTTAGGACTGCAGTTCGTTTTGACTTAAATGATAGCTATCGTGATAATCAGCTCATTTTGTAAACTTGTTGTTGTAGAAACATTCATTACAGTCCAACTATATTGAGGTAAAATCTTCTACAACCACCAGGATCCTTTAGAATACGCCTCAAGCCTGAGATGACGGATATACAGTGATAATTAATTGATCGATGCAAATGCTATAGCTTTATCAGCGGTCTAAACCCTGCTTTAAGAAATTGAAATTGGTTGTGAAAAAACAGCTGAAAAATAAGAAAACTTCATAGGAATTAACATTCTCTCAAAATGGTGTTGCTCATCGTAATGTCTGTTACATTAATTTCTGAATCTTCACACTATGAAGTGAGGAATATGTTTGTATGACCATATCTATTGATCTATCTTTTATTTACCATAAAGAACATGATCCTATCTGGTTCTGTGAGCAAAAGGATTTGTTTTCAGAAGGCATGCAGTTTATTTATTGGTGCATGGCGTGGCTCACTGACTATTTGTAATATCTTGTGACTAGAAGTTACAAGTGTTTGTTTAAAAGGTAAAGTTAACACACGCGCAAACATGGATGAGGCAAGGATAATGGTTCGTGTTAAAGTAAATGGACTAAACTTGATTAGTGACTAACCGTGATTAATCAGGTTTCGGTTTAGGTGGCCCCAATTCAGTTGCAGCGTCTGGTGACGTTTTTCAATTTTTGGCTAACGAGGAACATTTCTTTTATCAACGGCTCGCTGCAGATGTTTCAAGACAAGATGATTGATTTCGAGAATCGCCTTTCTTCCATGGAGATATCGTTGGAACTGATAGAGGCCAAGGTGCGTTAATTTTTCATAGCTTGATTTGCTCACTAATCGGCCAATAGCTTCAAGGAATTCCTGAACCGGATCAAACGGCACCGCCTATGTTGCCACCACAAGTGACTGAAAACAGCGCCACCGCATCTGCCGAAGAAGAGGTTACTGTACCTGAAAAACAGCAAGATGAGGCAACTTCCGCAGTGGTCGACCCACAGCTCCAAAAGTACCTGAAAATGCTGCAGTTGGTAAGAAATTTGACGTTATTGTTGATAATATAAGCAGCACTTATTTTCCTTAGGGAGTGCCTGTTTTGGCCGTGAAGCAGCGAATGATGCTGGATGAGGTGGACCCGACCCTAATCGAGTACGTTTTTATTTTAAATTTATTGCATAATTAGTCGATTTATTTATGTAGTTTTTCATTTTCTCTTCTTTAAGTATTGTGTAGCCAGAGACTTGCAGGAAGTACGTTGACATTTCAAATAGGTTATCAGTTTGGACAGAATAAACCTTTGTTTTATGTACAAATTAGAAATACCGCTTAATTGTATGGAAATCGTCCGCCCTGGTATTTAATGATTCTTTTAAATTGAAACTACTGAGTTGAGTAAAGCAGGTTATAGCTTGACTTAGCTTTAGTAGGATTGATAGTAGTAGTGATAGAGATTGAGAATTTGCGTGAATCTGCTAATAAATACAGAAGTTTACCTAACGACCAGTAGCAAACAATATGATTATAGCAGCTCCAAAATTAAGGATTTAATTTCTTTCACCTACAAAGGCTAATTTTATTCCGCATTATCGTCCGGGAAAGATGTTCCTTTCCAGAAGATAACCTTCTCTTTTCCGGTCGATATTGCAGCGAATGATTAAAGGAACTGGTCACCTCCTGAACGTTTCCGTCTCACACTGGACGATCATGAATTTGCTTCTGATTCCTTGACGGTTGGACGTACAGTTCGCCGTTGAAGACGACTTTATCACCGACCTTCATAGCTCTCTTTACAACAAATTTTGAAAGCTGCTTTTTAAGGGTCTATACGTCAGTATTATAGAGATTAGCTAGCAACGTTAGCAGGCGCCTCATCCGGTCGTAGGGACGATCTTTTCAGCCGTAGAAATAGGCGCAGGTGGCACAAGGAAGCAACTGCATCTTCCAACTCTGTCTGAAGAACTGCGGTGTCTCTTGCCTCACTCCTAGACCTTTCATGCGTCTAAGAAATGAAAGATTTCTCCTGAATTTGGCAGCCGCATTTGAAATGCGTGAATTCAGTGAGAAAATGAAATCGGTTGATCCACATAGTAATGTAGGACTGTTGCATCATCAGTGAGGTCTGACTGCTGCACTAAAAGCACATGTGGAATGGATCAGCTATAGTCAAAGGGACACAAAACTACGTCCTTCTTCTGATTGATTTCATTCAGTGCTGCATTATTACGGAGTCGTGCAGTAATTTGTCACGAGGTCTGTAACAGTACTCTAAGTCATCATGAAAACAGTGTCAACTATACCATTAAGTGTAGTAGCGGAAGCATAACTACGTAATCCATACAAACAAAGAAGTACATAGCATTATCGGTGATTACTAGTGCCGTAGTGTCCCATCTACGACTACAATTTCCTTATAACTGGAAATACTCCAACTCTTATCTGCCTGTTTCATGTAATGAGTATGCATATTTGCGACCTTACGTCATTCAAATATTCTGCTACGAAATTCGTAGTAGCATTAGTTATTATAGTTAATGGTCTAATTTTCGCGTGTTACTTCTTTGTTTCAGTGTAATTGTTAAAATGATGGAAGTATGTTATTATTTACGTATTTTTACCTGTTGGGGCGATATGGCTCCTGTTAATGGATTCAGTATAACCTGCAACGGCGAGCAACATACTAATAGTAGGTCTCTACACAGAACGAACCCGATTAGGACTATTGTGATGAAACAGAGATTTGGCAGTAGTAATATTCGTAGTGCTAAAGTCGGTTAATAGAGTCCCCTGTTCACACATAGCTTTCCTTTCTTCAAACAGAGCAGATTCATGACCAGATCCTCCATTGATCATTTCAGTAATTGTAATATAGAATTGTTCAGCCTTGCACCTTAAAGTCGTTAGGTTATAGTACTTTGAGTCATTGTATTATCAGTAGTTAATAGTTCTAGTAGCGAGACTTAAATAACGTATTCACAGCAAAAGGAGATTTACTATTCTGCCAGGGATTAGTAGAGTTCACTCCTTGAATACAACGCCAAATAGTTCAATCTTCGGTATTAGAACAAAAAGTAAGTGATGGATAGCAAATACTGCCCGTATTAAACCATAAAGAAAGAAATGGTTGGAAAGCAAGCGACAGTTTGAAATCGTATAGCATAACTTGAATAAATGGTTCGAAGGTAGTCGAAAAAAATTATTCCACTCCAAACATAGCAGGATAGATTTAGCTGTTGCGTCTTGATCTTTGAGGATATGCGCTAAGAACAGGATTACGTCGGCGGCGGAGTTCCATCCATGCTTTGATGCTAATGTGCTGTGATCCGGTGGAAGAAGTCCTTGACATGCTCTTGACATTTGGTCATGGAGTAGGTGTTAGTTGTTTCCGTGGATAGTGGAACGTATAGCAGGTCCTTCAGGTATTGTCTATCTAAAATCATATCGTCTTTGAAGAGTTGTGTGCCATTTAACATATTTCGGTTTAAGAGCTTATGTTGACGTTTATGCGGTAGCATATAAAGAATATCTGCTCCTGTGTCGTTGTTTATTATGAACCTGGGGACATATTTTGAGGACGAAATGATTCGAGATGCATCTGGAAGCGCGGATGCTCAAACACCATCGAGGCAACTAGGAGAAAGTACCGGTGCATTACACCGTGAATCTGTTCTTGAAGGAGTTTTGCTCCGTGTCTAACGACATCCATAATTGAGCGATGATCAGTATGCCCGGTTATAAATTTTGGCTGTCTTCTAAGCTATCACTACGAAGCCAGAGATACTGACCTCGGGAAAGATGATGGAAGCTGAATATGTGGTTCGCCTTAAAAATGAATAATCTAACTACTTCTTTGAACAATGCGTCTAACTACTTCTAACTACATGGTTAAACATACATGAATCTCAGAGCGTACGACGAACTGATGCAGCGGTTTCTCATTGTTAGCCAATTGCTCATGCCAGGAAAATTCGGTGCTTATCATACTGTCCAAATATTTCATGTGCTTAGCGATGAAATAATTATTTAGTAGTATTCCATATAAAATTACACACTGAATTGTACGGAAACGAGAAAAAGCTGGATTTAGAGTCCACTTCTGCATACAGCTGTTGTATGTAATTACATACATTCTGTTGCACTAATGGCAGCATTTGTACTGTAAGCAAGTGCTTAGGTGCTTTCAACTATAATTTCATGACGTGTTTCACCCCTCCTCCAATTGTAGTTTCTTGCTGGAGCGGGTATTTAAGCTTTCCGCGACTCCGTGATTCTTGAACTGCCGGGGTGCTGTTGGCAGTGTGCTAGGAGGATCAGTAGTTATTGTGCTATTTATACTATTTCCTGTTCTAGAAGTGGTAGAAGTTGTGGCTATCATGCCTAGATAGTGAGTTCAGTGCCTCCAGTGTTCCATGATGCCAGAATCGGACTCCTGCGACGGAGTCTAATCGCATATTTCTGGTACGCACAACGGTTTCAGTTGACTGTTGGTAGTTGGGGATGATCAGTGCTAACAAAACGCTTTATCAGATTGCTTCATTCCTTTTTAGTTAAATCCTAAACTTAGCCACCTCTGTTAATCTGTAAGAGCTGCTGATAAGTGATTTTCAGAGTTCCACATTTAGGTTGGACAGAACGCTCCACCTTTCGCTACCTTTGCTATAAACTACTGCAAGCCGATGAATGTGGCTGGTTTTACTCCAGCAGCAAAGAAACAAGAGGGTTTACACCTTGTGCTGATTATTTCGCGCGAGAGTCAACTATCAGGTGGGTCAAGCGACTTGTAGTCCTGAAAGGCTCTCGCATTAGGCAGCAGCATTGCCCTGCTTCTCGCCCATTTTGACATGACCCCATCAGAACGTCATGCTATCACTGTTATGTGCAGGTCAGCGACATGCAAACCGTTTTTCGACCTGTTGCACCGAAGCGACTTTGCACTGTTGTGCCAGTTACTTGCTCAAATGAATCAGCGGTTACGAGAATTTTTCTTTTCCGGATTTGAATCCAGTGTCTCCGTAGTTGAGAGTCTGTGTCTTACCACCGTTTCTTGTAATGAGTTTGAATTTTAACGAATTATGTTACCGGGGTTGCTCAGTGGGTTGAGCGTTTGACTCGGAACCGAGAGATCCGGGTTTGGGCGACGGTCAGCTCACTGCAATTCTTCCTTCCGAGGTTGGTAGATGAGTACCATTCTGTGGGAAAGAAACAGACTAAACACAAAAGCCATATGGGTGCTGTTGAACCTGCCTTTAAAGCAACGCATCCTGGTTGGTGGCCAGATATCAAATAAAGGTTGGTGCCCAGCCATTAACTTCATGAAAAGAAAGGTGCCAAAAATGCCTCATCACGAAATTGTTATGAGGACCGTCATTCCAGCGATTACAGACATTTCTTTTTCTCCTAATGGTTTTGAATTTTAACAAGTTAACTTAAGTTAGTTAGTTAACTTAATCGCCCATTTATACACAATCTTTACGTTGTAATCTTCATTCACTTTTTTGAACTTTTGATAATTTTTCTTGCTTACAACAGCAAGTATTTGGACAAAATACACTCGTGCAGGATTATTGAAGTGCGTTCTTCATATGGTATAACTGTTTTTCCTTTACATCGGTGTTGTTAACTTGTTGGTCTTTTTTACGTTTAGCAGCGCTGATAAGTCGACTCCTGCACTACAAGCTGTTGCCGATGAAGAAGCCGGTGACGCAGTTGTTTCAGATGATGAATCAAGTTTTGGTTCAGATTTCGACTCTTGACTCGGTGGAGTGATGAATCAATGAATGTTCTTTGAAAAAGAAAGTTTCCGGTTTCAGATCCATGTATATCGATACTTGAGAAAATTCCATATAACATTATTTTTAATTTATAATTAACTTGACAGAGGTTCGTGAACTGCTACTTAACATGAATATTGAAATTGACTTAAATGATATGATCAGCCGCAGTTCGGATGCGGCTAGTTTTAAGCCAAACTGTTATTTTTACTCCTCAAGTGTAGAGAAGAATGCGGACTGATATCTCCTAGTTA